TTCTTCTTCTTCTTCTTCTCCTTCTCGTTCTTTTCTTACTTCTTCTTCTTCTCCCTCTTCTTCTCCTTCTTTTTCTTCTCCTTCTTTTCCTTCTCCTGGTATTTTAAATTGATAGCTAGGAGTTACTACATAATTTTGCTAATAGTTCTTTTGCGAAGTAGGCTTTTAATAACCGTCTTGGGTGTTCTGCCTACCTTTTTATAACAAATGTCTTAGTAGTTGCTGCATTAGACAACATAATGTTTTTTAGTGTGTGCTAATTATGGATGAGCCTTGTTAAATATTTTTTGATACTTGAGCTCATGTTTTACCCCTTCTTTTATCACGAGCTATGAGTCTACGAGAACTGAATTGGGAATGCACAGTTACTGAGCTGAACCTTGATTAAATCCAGGGTGTCAAGGTGAATTTAAAAACAGTTCTTCCTCCTCTGTTTCCATTACTGTAATGATCATTGTTCCTGTAACTACAGGAAAAGGTTCTCTAATGATCAATACAGGCTATTTATATAGGAATTGTTTATGTCCTTAATATAAAGACTAACTTGTTTATGTAACTTTTGATGCATTGATGTGGTAAAGCTGTCTTTTGTCCCATTTAAAAAAACAAGTTTAACTTTACTAGCTAAAAATTGTCATAATGTAGTTTTGTATTTTTTAGATATATGGTTTTCTGTGATGGACGATGTCCTAAAACTTTTTAATGCTTCTGTAGACTTTCATATTTGAACAGTTTTTTTGATAGGAAAGTCTGCAAATTTTATTAATTTAATGGGTCAAGTGAAAGAAGAGAAAAATCTTAGTGGTCCTTTCTAAGGCCAGTAAGAGTTTTTTTATTTTTTTTTAATCAGTTCAGACTTAATTTTTTGTTCCCTTCTTAACTTGCATTTACTCATTTCTCTAGCTAGAGGACTTAAAAGTAGAATTTTACTGAATATCACTTTTTTTTTGTCTTTGAAGTAGGAGAACTGTAGTGAGGTTAAACTTATCCACGTCTTTTAGGCAAAAGTTATGATGCATCTGTTTAAAAAATATTGAATATCAACTCCTCATAGCATCATAAATAGCAAAAGTCAAGCATATTTATCTTAATTGCCTTCTAAATAACTGCTTTCAGAACTAGGTAGCTTAAGAGGAGAATGAGGTTGTGTCACAATCTTTCCTGTTAATTATTTTCACCCCTGCCTTAACTGCTAATTAGTGTTCAGTTAGTTATTAATCATATTCACCCTTCATATTAGTCTCTCC